AGTTTTTCAAGTAGGAGATCAGGTTGTTGTCCTCCTACCTGTTCTTGGCTCAGCCTTGTCTGCCAAATTTGATGGCCCTTATGACATCCTAGACAAAGTAGGGGAAAATGATTATATCATTGGCACCCCTAATCGGCGGCGCAAAACCCGTGTTTGCCATGTAAACATGCTTAAATTGTACCATTCTCGACCTGCACCACACCCTACTGAGGTGTATGCTCCAGTTGCGGTCACAACGCAGCTAGAAGTAGATGAGCTAAACAATGCCGACGGATTAAGAATGAATTATCCCATCTGTTCCAGTCCCCGCCTTACAAACTCAGAGATGCAAAAATCTCTGCAAAGCCAGCTTGAACACTTGTCCCTTGAACATCAAAAGGATATAACGGTCTTAATTGATAAGTACACATGCTTATTCAATGATGTACCAACAGTTACAACAGTCCTAGAACATGACATAGATGTTCAGAATGCAAAACCAATCAAACAGCATCCTTATCGGGCTAATCCCACAAAACGTTCTCTAATGAAACAGGAAACTGAATACCTGCTGGAACATGGTTTAGCTAAGCCAAGTCAGAGTCCCTGGAGCTCACCGTGTTTGTTAGAAACCAAGTCAGATGGTTCACCACGTTTTATCACTGACTTTCGTAAGGTAAATTCTGTCACTGTACCTGATGCCTATCCTCTCCCCAGAATTGAGGACTGTGTGGACAATATTGGAGCCGCAAAATATGTCACAAAGTTAGACCTTCTCAAGGGTTATTGGCAAGTCCCTTTGACTGAAAGGGCTTCCACCATTTCAGCTTTTGTGACCCCAGATGACTTTTTACAATACACTGTTATGGCATTTGGTATGTGTAATGCTCCTGCTACCTTTCAGAGGCTAATAAATACAGTACTGCGCGGCATCTCCAACTGCAGTGCTTATTTAGATGATCTGGTGGTGTATACTAAAACCTGGCAGGAACATTTGCAAACACTATATCAAGTATTTCACAGTTTGGCCCAAGCTTCCTTGACCCTTAACCTTGCAAAGTGTGAATTCGGCAAGGCCACAGTAACATACTTAGGCAGAGAGGTGGGACAAGGCCAAGTCCGTCCCCTCAACGCTAAAATTGTGGCAATTACTGATTATCCCACACCCAAAACACGACGTGAGCTGCGTAGATTTCTGGGCATGGTTGGCTATTACCGGAACTTTTGTAGAAACTTCTCCTCAGTAGTTCAACCACTAACCAATCTACTTAGCCCAAAAACTGACTTTGTTTGGTCAGATGAATGCCAAACTGCTTTTGAAAGTGCTAAGTTTCTCCTTTGCCACACACCAGTATTAGCTGCACCTGATCTGACCCGACCTTTCAAGTTAGAGGTGGATGCTAGTGCTGTTGGGGCTGGGGCAGTGCTAATTCAGGAAGATTTGCAGGGTTTAGATCATCCTATTTGTTATTTCTCCCGCAAATTTAACAAACATCAACTGAACTACTCCACCATTGAAAAAGAAACCTTGGCTCTGTTGTTGGCTCTTCAGCACTTCCATGTTTACCTTGGTTCCAGTAGTTTGCCGATCGATGTGTTCACTGACCATAATCCGCTAGTATTTCTTTCACGTATGTACAACCACAATCAGCGCCTTATGCGGTGGGCATTGCTTTTACAAGAATTTAACCTGAACATTCAACATAAGAAAGGAACAGACAATGTTCTCGCAGATGGCCTGTCCAGAATGTAAGTATGGATTTGTTCTTTGTAGTTACAAAATTTGATTTTGTAATTTAAGGGGGGGGATGTTACAGCCCCTGGCCTCTCGGCTGTGTGTAGGGTTTTGTTATGCAGGTTCAGCTGTGATGGCTCATCTCCTGATTGGCTACCTGGAAGCTGCAGGAACTACACCCATTGGACCAGAAGGGAACTGCAAGCCACCAGATGTTAATGAGACTCACCTGGTCTATAAAAGGCTCCTGAAATCATTTCCTCAGGGGGACAGCTTGTAGGAGTAGGTTTTGCTCTGCTGTTCCCCACCTTTGATTTGTGATTGTCTTTGACAATTTTGTGAATATTTTGGTTGTTTGTTCTGCTAGAGCAGGTTGACTTTGATTTGGTTGATAACACAAGCCAGACACTTGTATTTAGGAGGCTTGCTGCTCCTTTTGTGTGTTTGTTCTTTTTTTCATTTTCCTTTTGGTTTATTTGAATTGCTATGGACTGACTTGTTTGGGCACTTTGTGATTTACTTCGCACTTACCTTTTTTTTTTTAATGCTGTCAGCCCTTTCTTTTGTTTTAATTGGATTAAGTGGTATTGCGTCTTGGTTTTGTGAGAACTTTGTTTCTTTTGTAATAAATCACCTTTTTATTTATCCCTCCTATTCTCTGGACATTTTTTTATGTTACCGCCCTGAACCCCTAGACCAATAGGGGCGTAACAGTAAAATATCTTTCAATTTGAACAGAATGTGTAGAAAATGTTTAGAAGTCTGTTTTGCATGTCTAAAAATGCAGCTTTTTTATCTGGTCAATAATATTTTGCCTGTTTTTAAATTTAAAATGAGATTTAAACAGTTTTATAGTCAGATTTCTTCAGATTTCTCTGGGATGTAATTCTGTACTGTAACTGTGTTTTTTTTCTGAGCCTGTTTGCCACCAACTCATTAAATTATTACACTTCTGCTCAAAAAAAACCTTTGACTATTTGTCAGCTTCTGTGTTTTTCTGTGTTTCATTCTGTGTTTCTGTGTCCTGAATCTCCTCGTTGTCCTGTCTTCCCTTGATTGTTCCCAGGTGTGTCTTGTTCCCTTGATTACCCTCAGTGTATTTAGTCCCTCCTGTGTCCTCTGTTCCTCGTCGGGTCCTCGTTGTTCGTCGTAAGTCGTCGCACTTTTGTCTCTGTCTGCCGTCATTTGTTTATTTCCGCCTGTAAGACTAGATGCTACCGGTGTGAGCCCTGGCTTCCGCTCAGCCGTGCTGCCTACTCTGTTGACTGTATTTTGGACTGGTTTCCATTATTGAAGATTCACCATTCACCTACCTGGGCCTCCAAGCGTCTGCCTCACCACCTTACCACCACACTACCTCGTGACACTATTTTTATTTCTGCAAATTCATTTAAGAAAATAACGATTAGTCTGTTTCTTTTCCCTTAACCCTCCTGTCATGTTGCTGTTTTAAAGTTAAAAAATATATACACAATAAGAAAAACAAAAGTACTACAGGAATTTGCCTGGATTAAGTTTAAACTAATGAGAATAAGGACGATGTGACAACAAAATAAGAAAAATGTTTAACTGTGACTCATTCTTTACAATAAGATATCTAAAAATTAAAAGGAAATTAATTTTTTTCTTATCTTGAAATGTTAAATGTATATTAAATTATGCAACCATGAATACACTCCTGTGAAGGTGTGTGTGTGTTTCTTTATCAATGTCACTATATAAACGACCAGAATCATTTCTATCAAATAAAAACATTGTTAATAATCACATTAAAAAGTTAGAAACTGTCTTTAGTGCTTTCTTTGATTTCCAGATATATTGTTGTGAGAGAGAGAGAGAGAGAGAGAAAGTATCAATGACAGTTTTAACTTAAAATACCTTGTAGCTCCGCGTTTCATGAGGTTTCATCCATTCTCTTATATAACTTAGTGGCAGATGCGCCATATTCACGCTGTGACGCATCACAACAGGGGGCTGACCCAGGCATGTGCAGAGGGGGGGCTAAGAGGGGGCTTGAGCCCCTGCCTCTTTTATCCTTGATGCTCCTAGCTCCCTTTTGGAGGATTTTTTTTTTTTTCAAAATTTTTGTTATTATTTATTTTAATCTGTATGTCATAAGGCCTGCTTATTCCCCTCAACAATATTTACATAAATAAAATAATTTGTCAAAATAAACTAGTCTGGTTGCCCTCAGTCTAATAATGACTCAGTTTCTCTTCCTCCATGTTGTTCAGTCTCCGGGTTTATGGTGAGGAGGATCTGTGCCTCTAAATATCAAATTATCAAACTAGTGTATATTTTTTCATACACTAGTTTGTAAATGAAAATGTAGGTCTGATGTTAGAAAAACTGTTTCTGGTTATATTTTCATAATTGTTACAAATAAACTTTTTCTAGAGGCCCCTGAATGGCCCTGAATGACCCTGAATGGCCCTGAATGACCCTGAATGGCCCTGAATGGCCCTGAATGACCCTGAATGGCCCCTACCAGCAGCTACTGAGTTTTCTTACAATTCTAGATCTCAGAGGTGAAAACATCAAAAAGTTATAATAACAAACTAAGTTTCATTAGTTTGTTATTGAAAGAAAATTTTTTGGATTTTTTTTTTTTTTTTTTGCATTTGTTATTTTTGTCACTTATATAAATTATTGCCATTTTTGTCCTTAAGACACCAGAATTTACACTGAACTTTACATTTTGATCCATCTGACAATGTAATTTCTAAATAGAAAACGATTGATAATTTGATCAGTTAGTATTTGTATCGACTCTTTACCAAATTCTTGTTTAGTCTTATTGAATAATTTCTTGAATGACGACTTTTTCCTTTTACTTGAGAAGAAATGTGTTGAAGTATTTTTACTCTTACTTCAGTGCAACCTTTGGCTTCTCTGTCCACTTCAGTTCATCTACTACAAATGAAATCTTTGGGGAATAAATTCTTTGATAACTTTCATCACAGAGCTTTTGTCCATCATCTGCTGCAGAGATAAAATGTCTTACAGCTGCAACATTAACCAAACAAACTTGTTTGTTCCCATAGTTTTTGGTTGAACGAGTTGAACCAAACAACCTGAGGTTTTCTGTGAGGTAGTTAATTGAAAATGTTATATTTATTTGGATTTTGTTTATTTCTTTCTGCTCAGGCTCAAACCGGCGCTATGACATTCCTCTCCATCTTGGTTCAACAATATTTAGAATGTTTTTTTTTAAAAAATAAAAGTTACATACTGCAGCTTTACTGGAAGATATATTTTTTTCTGTCATTCTCATAGGATCCAACAGGTGGCGATCACGCGCCTTTTGAATTGGTTCGCCAACTGCCAGGAAGAAGACGAAAGGCAGCCGGATAATGCGACACAGCTAATAGTGTCCCATGATGGTAATCGACTGCTTGTTTTTTTAATGTTCATGTTATGTTTTGGAATATAACAGTAAAAATTGACTGTTATTTTGTCCTTGTCCTGTTTAACTCTTACCGTAAACCTGACCGTTACTTTGTGACAGCAGCTAGCATCAATGTTAGCATTTAGCGGCTTGTCAACAATTCTCCTCATATTTACATTCATTCGCTTTTCTGCATTAAACAACGTGAACAAACGACCGGATTGAAGCCCCGGTGGTTCAGGTTGCCGTGTTTCGTGTTGCCGTTGCCTCTCTGCGGGTTGTTGAAGCCGTCTGGTTTTGTGTCTTTCTGTCAGAGTGCTCAACTGAAGGATGTCATTATCAAAGCTGAGGCTCCCAGCTCTCTGCTGCTGGACAAACATGCAGACTACATCGCAGCCTACGGCTCCAAGAAGGATGACTATGTGAGCAAAGCCTTGTTTACATCCACCCAACCCACATCTGTGTAAACTGGATCTGTTTTCACACCCACTCACATTCATATAAGTTTAGATTCATTGTTTCTATCAGTAAACAAATAAAGTTTCAACTTTCATGTCATCCAAGATCCGACAAACTTTAAAAAGGTTTAAATTGTTACCCTGAAGATCTCCTAGCAATGGTGTTTTATCCCCAGAACCAAACATGAAGCAGCATTCAGCTTCTATGCATCACAAACCTGGAACAAACTGCAAGAAAACTGCAGAACTGCTGAAACACTGAGTTCCTTTAAATCAAGGCTAAAACCCACCCGGTTAGAGCTGCTTTTGAACCATGATGAATGAAACATTTACCAACATTTTGATGGACATTGATTTGATTTGGGTAGTAACTAGTTACATTAACTCAATTACATTTACTTAAGTAATTATCTGGAGTATTTTTACTATGGTGTACTTTTTATTTTTACTTGAGTAATTTTATTCTGAAGTATTTCTACTCTTACCTCAGTAAAATTTCTGGATTTGCTGCCCGCTGAATGAAAAAACAAACATGATTTAACCAAAAATTTAGCAGACACACACCTTCAGTTTGTGTTATAAGTTTTTTATTGAAAGAAACTGGCTGTAGAAATAAAGTTGATTAATTGGTTAGCCCAAAACCGGTGAAAAAAACAAGGGCTTCTTATGAGAAAGTGTTAAAGTCACATTATATAACCACATATCAGATGGTCTTCTGATATTTTAAGGAAGTTTAATTTGAACTCACTCTGTGTTGAACTAACCAGGAGTACACGCTGTCCGAGTACCTGAGGATGAGCGGCATCTACTGGGGGCTGACGGTGATGGACCTGATGGGCCAGCTGCAGCGGATGAACCGCCAGGAGATCATCGATTTCATCAAAGCCTGTCAGCACGAGTGTGGAGGCATCAGCGCCAGCATCGGACACGACCCTCACCTGCTCTACACCCTCAGCGCCGTCCAGGTGAATCCTGATGGACTTTCACTGCATCCGAAGCTTTAATCGTATTTGCTGATCTGTTTGGACCTTTTGTAATAATTTTTTGTAAAGATATTTTCCATTTCAATCTGTTTTATCTGGTCTTTTGGTTTAGATCAGAGGTGTCCAAAATGTGGTCCGGGGGCCAATTGTGGCGCCTGAAAATGGTTTTATTTTGCCCCTGACCACAAATCAAGAACGGTAAACCTTTGACCAACAAAATGGAAAACAATCAATGAGCCAAACAAAGAATTTGGAAATTGTTTGTTTAAGGCAACAGTCCAAAGCCCTTTTTATATTTTAGATCCTTTTACATATTTACTAAAAAATGGTTTATTGTTTAGAAAAACTAAAAACATCACAAACTGACTCGTGAATTTTTAATTTAGTAAATTTTGGGACCTGCCAGTAATTTAAATTGACCAGTTTCGACCCTCTTTGTAAAACGTTTGTAGCCCCTGGTTCAGACCGACTGTCCTCTGTCTGTCCAGATCTTGTGCCTGTATGACAGTTTGGATGCCATCGATGTGGACAAAGTGGTTGAATATGTTAAGGGGCTTCAGCAGGAGGACGGCTCGTTTGCAGGAGACAAATGGGGTAACAAATCTATAAGTTATTACTCAGATCGTGATCAGTTTGTATTTTAGTCTTTATAAATTGTAAACCTTTAACTCTTCTGATCTAGAAAAGTGAACAATCTGAACTGCTGGATTTCCTTCAGTGCTTCTTTTGCTGCTTTGTTGTTCATTTTCAAATAAATGTGTTTTGTGTGAGTTTTTTTGGTTTTAAAATGTTTATGTATTTGTTTTTATTCTGTTTTATGGGAAAAAAAATAAGCAAAATAATAACTGAAAAAGTTGTCGTGTTGTTGCCTTTACAGCTTGGAATTAAAAAATTAAGTAAATTAAGTACCAAAGTTTTGATTACATGGATTTTAGTGTCAACATTTATAAGAGTCTGTTTTAACTGGAGTTTTCTGTCTTTTCAGGAGAAATTGACACACGGTTTTCTTTCTGTGCTGTTGCTACGCTGGCATTGCTGGTATGTTTGTTTTTGTTTCTCTACAAGTTTGTTAAAGATAAAATAGCTTAACGTGAACATGCTAGTTAGCGTTAGCTTGTCCTGATCCGTCTCTGTCCTCGTCCGTCCTCGCTCAGGGAAAGATGGACACCATAAACGTTGACAAAGCCGTGGAGTTTGTCTTGTCTTGCATGAATTTCGACGGAGGTTTCGGCTGCAGGCCGGGCTCAGAGTCGCACGCTGGCCAGGTGAGTTCACACCTGGACATTTTAAAAACTGTACTCTTTATAAACCAAACAGGCTCTTTACATCCCAACAAACGTCTTTAAATCAAAATGTAAACATTTGAATGAGATCAGAGGGGCTGTTGGTCGCAGAATGAATTAATTCAGCCGTGTCCGTGCGTCAGATTTACTGCTGCACCGGTTTCCTGTCGCTCACCGGTCAGCTGCACCAGCTCAACGCCGACCTGCTGGGCTGGTGGCTCTGTGAGAGGCAGCTGCCGTCCGGAGGCCTCAACGGGCGACCCGAGAAGGTTTGTGCACTTCACATGAAGTTTCTCTGCTTGTAAGGCAAGAAAGCTGCATTGAAATGTTCCAGAACGCATTTAAAACACGGGATTACTGTTGTTCTTTAATGTTTACTAAGGTTGTTGAGTTTGCATCCAGAATCAAATAAAAAGAAAATTATTATAACAAAGTCAATGTAACTGTGAAACTATCGCTATTGTTTGATATCTTCCTTCTTTTTTTTTTTCTAATATCAGGCAAGATATGTTTATTTGTTAGTAAAGTTTATTATTCAAGATGCTAATCAGCTTCTTCCAGTTTTAAAAATACTACATTGCTGCCATGGTTACACCTTATAACTGCCTGAAAGTAAAAACGTAAGAGCAGAAATGCTCCCAGCTGCAAAACGTCTAAAACTAGTGGGAATAATTAACAAAAACTTCTGAACTGAACAAATGAGATGTAACCAAGCAAATCGACTCCAACAAGCTGCTAAACTCTAGATTTATAAATGCGATTCAGAAACTGACATTTATAGCTCAACATCTCTCAGTAAATTCTCAGTTCATATTAGTAAAGAAAAAAAAAGGTTTAAAATGAACAAATTTCAAAATATTTTTCCCTCTTTAAGGGCCAAAATTGGAGCCGCTGAAGAAGCTTATCTCTCCTTATGGTCTTTTTTCTGCATCAGTCGAGAGGAGCGTTGATCTAAAATGATATTTCCTGTAACGAAGGATCAGTTCAGACGTTTGATTTGATCACAGCTGGATGTTCAGAGTCGCAGACAAACCTCCGTCTCTCTCAGCTTCCAGACGTTTGCTACTCTTGGTGGGTCCTGGCGTCTCTGAAAATCATCGGCAGGATTCACTGGATCGACAAAGCCAAGCTGCAGCGCTTCATTCTGGCCTGCCAGGACGAGGAGACGGGAGGATTCGCTGACCGACCCGGAGACATGGTGAGGAAAGAAACGCTGCGACTTCCTGCTGAAGCTTTGCTCTCTCAAGTTATTTTCCTTCTTTATGCCGCACATTTTAAAGGTTTATTTTAATTTTTTTTTACTTTGTTGTCACATAAAATAACCTGAATAAACACAAAATGCAGTTTTTCAATTGAAAAAAGTGAAACTAACTTTATAAGATTTATGTCACCTATTAAATCATGAATAAACTGCAACTAGCCACCAGAATTAATTCAGTTTTATTAAATACTTGGACTGCAACTAGTGATTATTTTCATATTTGATTAAATTATTTGATGATTAATCGTCAAAATAATCGATTAATCGGATAAGGATATTGACATAATTTGAAGATTTTTTTCATTTAATCACCTAAATCTTTTTATGCAATATTAGAAATACATTGAAATGCAAATAAACAAATAATTTAAATTCATTTTTAAATAATAAAATGAATATTTTGTCTAAAATGCAATAACCTATCATTCATTCAGTGTTTGCTTGATTATTTGTAGTAAAGTATAGTACAAATACAGTTTAGGGCTGATCTGTGGGTTATTTGCTGATCATCTCTGCACTCAGAACTGGTCCTAAACTCCACATGATGTTAATCACAACCTTTTGATGTTATTCTGCTGTTTAGAGTTTGGATGGATTTATTTTTGCGCTCCAAAAAACTGCATTTTATGTTTCCTCAAACCATCAAAATCAGTTGAAACTTTTAAAACTGCAGCAGTACTCCAGGATTTCATTATGCACCAGTGTGACCTCTTGACCCCTCCTCTTGCAGGTGGATCCGTTCCACACTCTGTTCGGTGTGGCGGGCCTCTCGCTTCTCGGCGACGAGTCGATCAAGCCGGTGAATCCCGTCCTGTGTATGCCTGAAGACGTCCTGCAGAGGGTCGGCCTGCAGCCTGACCTCCTCAGCTAGCGCGCCTAAGCTAACACATCATCATCATGGCGAACTGAAACGCTGCTCCGCCCCTCACAGCGCCCCCCAGCCTGAGTTATAACCACTACAGCTGCACCCTGGATGTGGATAGAGGACTGCTTTTCTTCAATCTGTTTGGAAGAATCCATCAGAAAATGACATTCCTTCGTTTCTCAAGTCGGTTTTAGGAGGAAAACCTGGAAATTTTACACATTTCCTCACATTGCAACCACAACCTTCACTGTAGTTTATTGGGATTTTTGTGATGGATCCACTGGAAGTACTCCATAGTTGTGAAGTAGAAGGAAAATGTTACATTTTTACAAATAAATTAAAAATATACAAAGTTGATGTATTGATCCTTTTGTCAGCCTAGAGTTTATTTATGATGCTGTTTTTAGGTTTTTATTTGTGAAAAATATTTTGCAGTTTCACAATTATCTTACTTTGTATCGATCTAACACACAAAATCTCAATAAAATACTTTGCAGTTTTTGGCTGAAATGTAAAAATTTGCTAATGGTGGACATATTTTGAGGGCATTATTTTAGTTATTGATTAATCAATTGTTCTGGTGATTAATCAGATAGTAGAACTGCTGCATTCTGCAAAATTCTTATTTAAGCGTTTTATAAATGATAGTTATAAATCATTATTTGTCATGATTAATCACTTAATTGTTTATTTAAATCATAGCTTAGTCACAATTAATTGATTATTCCAACAATTAATTATTGTGATTAGTCAGTTCAATCAGTCATGATTAATTGATTGTTTCAATGATAGACTAATCACAATTGATTATTTCAATAACAATCGATCATTTAAATAATTGATTAATCGTTTTAGCCCTATTTTCTGCCCTCATCAGTCCTAAACCAAAAAGATTTTCCAGTTTTATCATAAAAAACAAAAGTTTCTTTACAGGAAAAGAAAAAATGTCAGAAAATTCAGTTTGTTGTGCTCAGTCAGTAATGAAACAGTGACGGCCTATTTAAAGTAAGAGGGTGTTTATGGCTCTCTAGCACTCCCAGACCACTGCGATAATGATCCACTCAGCTGGAGACGAGCCACAGGAGCTGCAAGCTGGTTTATGCGCCTCCATCAGCTCGATGTGAGCGAAGCTGCTTCAACCGGGGGAGTTTTCATTTCAACTGTAATTGTTATGTTTAATATTCCAACTGCACTATTTATTGAAATCTGTCGCTCTGCAGGAAATATTTACTCCATCTTGAACAGATTCTCCAGCTTCGCTCCACATCCGTAAATCTCCTCGTCTTTCACTGACAGAAAATAACTGCTTAGTGTGTTTTGTTATAAAGCTTTATGAACAAACTTCAGTGTTTTAATGTTTGGATCCAAACAAAAAATTATGATTTGCTAAATTACTATAGAAATAGTTTGTTTACGAGAAGGGTTTCTATGTTTTAACAAATTAAGATAAAATAATTAAGAAGGTATTTTTGTTTCTCACTTCTTCATTTGTTGCCTTTAAAATATCTTTAAGTTTACAGAATATTTTAGAAAAATGTATAAAGTATACACTGATTTCTGAGTAACGTCAAACTATTTCCACTCTATTTTTAATCTTTGTTTTTAATTCTTAAAAAAACAAGAATAAAACCTCTGATTGAATTGAAACAATTCAAATAGTCACTTAATAAAATCTACAGATTAAAATTTTTTTTTATTTTGCAGTTTTCATTTGTGAAATCGAATCATTTTGTATAAGTTTTAGTTCTTTTATATATATATTTTAAAAAATTTTAAAGTTGATTTTGATTGGTTGATCCTACAGTCACACTTTATAAAGCATTTAAACATTTTGTCATTGTGCGCCATTTGTTTTAAAATCATAATCAACCTGCTTAAGTAAGAAACTAAAACTTGTAAGAACAGCAAACAAAAATGTTTGTTGTTTTCTCTGGAAGGAGTTCTGTAACAAAAGGAAAAACAAAAAATAAATAAATCTGTTTTTATTTGTTTGCAAAAACAGAAAATTAACTCCCTAAATTAGATATTTGAAATTTTGAGTGTGGAAAAGAAACCCTGCATCAGCAGCTTCATGCTGAAACATGAAGCTGCTGATTGCCACTAGATGGCAGCATCACCCTTTTAAACAGACCTTTAGTTACTTTATTAAATCATCCATTAAATTTATTGTTTTTCTCTCAGCACAAAAATATCACAATAAAGCAATAATGACTTTAATCTGGAGATTTCATCTGTTTAATAGAGTAATGTTTTTAAAATTGTAGCTTATCAACCAAGAAAATAATATTAATATTAAATTAATATGTAGTATTTGGCATTATTGAGCCACAGAGTGAAGCTGAAAAAACACAAAATCTTACCAAGTAATTTTTTCCTATTTTCTAGTGCAAATTTCTTATTTTGAAATAAGACAAAACTAACTTACAAGTAACTTTTCAGCAACATATAGCAGCTTATTCTCAATCAATGATTCCTTAATATAGATGAAAATAGATTCAATATATAACAATATATAGTATTGTTTCCTTGTTAAAACTGAAATAATCTGCTATTGGAACTTTTTCATCTCTATTAAGGAATAATTTACTTTCAACTTGCTGAAATGTTATCTGTAAGTTATCTTATTTTAAATGTATTACAATATTTGAACTACACTGAAAAAAGAAAACAACTAATTAATCCGAGTAAAAATAGCAAATGTCTTAAATAAGTTTGACAAACTTAATTTGATTAAATCTAACAAATTAACTCAATTTCTAAAAGTTTGAACTCTGTTGATTTTTTTCAGTGTAGAAACTAGACCAAAAATACTTGCTGAATTTTTTTTGCAGAGTTTATATGCAGATTTTTTTAGTTTCTTCTGTAGTAATTTGGCAGGAAGTCACCATGGCTGCGTCTCCATCTGCTGGCGTGTGATTTGTGACTCGTGTCTCGGCTGCCAGCAGGAATCAGTGCAGCAGGCTGTGGTGTGAATGCATCGACTCCTCTGTGGCTCTCGGGGGCCTCCTGGGGCCCCGCGGACTGGCAGTCAGTCATCTGCTGCGCGGCGCGAGTCACTGTCCCTGTGGGGTTGGAACGGCATGATGGAGGAGTTTCTGTCCGGTTCTCAGTGGCAGCCTGTCAGAGGGATCCCAGTCATACTCTGGGAGAGTTTCTGCATTCTGCCGCTCAGATCCCAAAACCAAACACTGAACGGGTCGATAGCAGCACGGAAAACTTTCTAAATTATACAGAAGATTCTTGTTTATAATTAAATGAAATTATAAATAATTATAAATGAAAGTGCAATCCATGGGTTTTGGATAACAAATTAATATAAAATATTATAAAGACAAAAAACTAAGACATGCATACAGAAAAGGATGGGGGGCCACTAAAAAAAGAAACAGAAAAAGAATCCAGACTTTTTCTTCCCAAAAATATTAAAATCAAGATTCTGAGATTGATGTCAAAATTTTGAGCAAAACTGTCAGAATGCTGAGATTAAAGTCTGAATTCTTAGAAAAATGTCAAAATTCTGAGGAAAAACTAAAAATTCTGTGATTAATGTCAGAATTTTGAGGGAAAAAAAATCAGAATTCTGAGATTAAAGTCAGAATTCAAATTTCTTCAATACATTAAATAATATTTTTTAAATAAATTTTCTAGATGTATCTAAGTTTTGCTTGATTCCTGTAACGTGTCTTTGAGTTTTTAGAAAAGTGTAAACATGATCCAAAGCTATTTTGTCAATAAATAATGCATTCACAGAGCAAATCGCACAAACTGGGCTACTTGGAGTCTGTGTGGATAACAAACTGTCTTGGTTTTGGTTTTGCCCTTATTTGATTTGTTTAAGCCTGCAGTAAGAACTTTAGTTATTTCTAAGCTTCAATATCATCAGGCAATATGAGCAAAGAAAAACAAAACTTAGATAAACTTAAATTGAAACAGAAAACAGCAGCCTGTTAAGCACTGAATCATTCTTACAAATATCACTAATTCACATCTTATAGTTTAATATAAATTATGTTTCTCAACATTTTGTATTGACCGTAATAAATTTGCTTTATATGCAGGCAAAATCTGCCATATATTTTCATAATTTTAATGATTTCTACTGTATGATGTGTGTTTTTAAACAAAGTGTAGCTGGGTGTAAAGCCAGTCGCAATAAACAATTATTTATTATTGAATCTATTTATGCAGAAAAGTGTCTGGCAGTCTGGAAATGCCACTGCTGCTGGTTTTATGCGTCAGTTTTTATTTCACAGCTCTTGCTGAGTAATTAGAGGCAGGTAATTCTCTCCTCCTCGTGATGGAGACAAGGACGGCCCCCTGCAGTGCAGCGAGATAAGAAAATGACACTTTCCCAGGAACAATCTCTAACAGTTGGCTTCATAATGCCAGACAAATAACGAAGTGATAGCACAAGTTGTACCGAAAATCATTATCGTCAATCACTAATAGGACGGCAGCGAGAAGTCTGTAATGTTCCCATAACGTGGGAAATGGGAAAAGATTTTCTTGTTTTTGGTTTGCATTTGACAGTGTAATGTGTCTCTTCTGTCATAAAGTCCAACTCAGACGTTCCAAAACCTCCAAAGCCACATTCACTTAATAAAATATATTAAATAAATGAATAAAAGAGTGTTTTATCCATAACGTAATAATTTGAGAAGAATACCTCTAGCATGCAACGCCAGAATAGTTTTTTTCATGGTAGACTGAACAATCCAATCCAATCTTTTTACTCTCAAAAAGGAAAAGAAAATCTGATTTGTGTCACTTTCATATACATTAAATAGGATGCCTGTCTGTTTTTAACGGCTATGTCGTGTTCTTTCTGACTTTTACGTCATCAATGTGAGACACGAGTCATAATTCTGAACTAATAAAAGTTTTGAAAATACTCCTAGAAGTAAACTGACGGAAATGTAGCGAGTTATTGTCCAACTCTGCATGTCAGAGGACCAACAACAAATTCAAGTTCAATGTTCAATCATGCTGGAAGCAGTTAGTAGCTACAATTAGCATGCTAATCATGTATTTTATGCTAGCTGCAACTAGCAAGTATGTAGCTTCTCTTGCTACATGGGATTTTCCTGCTGCAAAGTGAACCTGTGAGTATGGAATAAGATTAGGGCCAGTGAATAAAAAATAAACCAGTTCTGTCTTTAATCTGAGAATTCTGTCTTTGATCTCAGAATTCTGTCTTTAATCTCAGAACTCTGACTTTAATCTCAGAATTCTGACTTTAATCTGAGAATTCTGTCTTTAATCTCAGAACTCTGACTTTAATCTGAGAATTCTGTCTTTAATCTCAGAACTCTGACTTTAATCTCAGAATTCTGACTTTAATCTGAGAATTCT